CTTTTAGATAGTTAGTTCTTGGCGACGGGGAACGATACTTATCTCTTCTGTCTCCTTCGTTGTTTATCTTACGATAGCTCTAGGCCTCTCCATACGTTACTGATAGTACAATACCTTTGTCTTCTATCGGAAACACCTCTCGTAAGCTTTCTCTAACTCGTCTTCGTGACGAGCACTTCTCTGTGTAATGATAATGTTGCAATAAAGATAAAGATCGTAAAGGTGCTTTATATTCGTTAAAGTAACAAGTAGGAAAAGTACTTAGAACTAAGTGCGAAGAACCTATCTTCCTCGGCCGCATCGGCCTCCTTATATAGTATTCTTCCCGCCCATAGTCATGTGACCTAAAGTGGTAACATGTGCAAAACCAAATCATAACAATAAACAAGTCATATGACTCGACTGAGTCATATGCTCGAGACCCATGACCTCATAATGAGGTCCTGTGCAAAACATAAATCATATGCGCAAGGCTTACCCGCAAGGCATACTTGCAAGGCATACTTGTCAGGCGCACGACCCATGACTCGTACTTGAGCCATGTGCGAAAGCATCACAAATCCTACACATAACAAATCATATGACCCTAATGAGTCATATGTGTGAAACAATAACGTCCCTGTGACTTATAACTATGCGTCACGTGAAAACCTTTTCCTTGCTAAGCCACATTCGTGACAATATACTGTAGACAGTATTTGGTCAGGCTGACAGCCAGAATGTATACCATATCACAGGAGCATTTCCACATTTAAACTTTTACTAGATTCATAGTAACTCTCCAGGCTGTACTCCATGATATAAGGGACATCTAACTGGGCTGGGGGAGGGTGTAGGCCAACTCTCCTAAGGTATAGCTTATTTAAAGCTAATCTTCTATTGTGGGAGTAATCTGTATAATCAGTGATTTGCATGTCCAATGTGGTTTCTTGTAAGAAGAAATCTTGTAACTTGTCCTGATATCTGATGAAATAAGTTACTCCCAATATGTAGTGACTTGACCGCATAGCAACATACCCTGTAGCGCAAGGTATAGTAACTTTAGTTTGAAGATAGAATAACTGCACCCTGACTTACACTCAAGACTAGAATAACTCGATTTTATATTTTTATTATTTTATTATCATTTTTTTATTTTCTGTTTTAATGCACCATAAGGTACAGGAGTCCTGATGCTGTCCCGCAAAGAAGCCCCAAACATCCACCCCGCCTTGTTCTCCAAGAGCCTGAAGAAATACAGTAAAACCAGAAAGGCTAACACCAGCGGCTAGGTGCCCGATCCTCAGATCCCTGGATATTGACGCGAAGGGGTCTCATCTAGAGCTACCAATTTCCAACTAGTCCTTGACGTAAAAAGCTCCCTCGCCAGCCTCTTGCACAGCCTTCTAGAATCGGTAAAGAGAGAAGGTCCAGAAACCGATTCTTCAAAGTAAGAAAATCTCCTATCCCAACCGTACACCCTCTACCGAGGAGGAGAAAACCCAAAACCAAGGAAACTCCAAACTGAAGGTTGAAGGAAACCACTCACCTATAACAACCAGATTTCCAACCCAACCCATAGGACAGAACATGTCCGTGAAGCTGAAATAAGGAACAGGTACATCCTATAGGTGACATCAATGTATATCTTACACATCTTGTGCATGATAGCGAGCAGGAGAAACCGTAAAGAAAGAGTGCCCGCTGCAAGCATGGAGGATTAGTGAAACTACAGCCTCAAGCCATCCATCTCGGAGGGTCGATGGGGCTGCCTGAGGTAGCAAAAGAGGGTATCGTATTAGGGTACCAGCTAGCACAACTAAAGAGCGAAAGGTGGGTAGGACCAGAGGATCCAGTGCAAACGCAACCATTACCGAATAGTTGCCATATTACCAAATCTCTCAAGTAGTCCCTTGTTCGCTGAGAGATAGTGTTACAAGATATAGCCGACTATGGTACTTAACCAACCATACTTCTATACCGAAGACTCTTGTCTATGGCCATTCTTATAATAGTGGTCCCTTGATGCTATCATGTATAAAGGTTTGGCTAACTGTAATAGTACTCATTAGAGTCTTATTATACTAATACCTTTTACAAAGTACCTGATCCAGTATTGTGAGACTTATAATTTCAATGAAACTGAAACTCACATTGCAGTTAGATTTAATCACTGAATCCTTATCTGAGATTGAACCAGGCTCTTATAACTTGCAAGTTCAACAAATCAGAAACTTGTTACTGTTTGTAATAATATCACTGCTGTAGAAATTTATTCTCTTCTTTGACAATCGTTTCCAGTATTATCTACCAAGTAAACTGGTATAACTATTTCTACCAGTTAATTACCTTTTTACTACCTCTAATTCTGGATACAATAATACTCACTTGACCTGAAAGAGGACCTGTGTTATCCTCTTGGAATAATATGTCTTACTCTAAAGATTATGTAGTCAATAGCTTTGCATCCTTGATAGATTTGACTTTTATTGGACAAACAACTTTTTAGATCATTGTAATAAAGATCAATTTTAATGAATGCTAACATCTTCCCCATCCCAGTCACTGCTTTCAACTTTCGAATATTGTTTTCTTTCAACCTTTCAACTATTATTACTCTGAAGCTGTTGCAATAGTATCCTGTATTTGTTATAGTAACTTTATTGAAGATGAGTTCTTGGACAGAGTTAAATATATTCTTCAATAACATTTTACACAATTAATAATGCAATCTGCATTCCAAGCTGCAGGGCTAGCACCATATGATCACCTCCTTCACTTGAATATTGTTCTCTTCTAATCCTTCTACTATTATCACTCTAAAGCCATTATAGTAAGTATCTGTACTCATTATAGTAACATTGTTGAAGCTGAGTTCTTTCACAGAATTATATATATTCTTCAATAAGGGTTTAAGGAATTAGTAATTCAATCTGCATTTCAAGCTGTGATACTAATATTATACATATTCTAGATATTGTAATATTTAAGTTGTAATAGTCTATTGTTTATATAAAGTTAAGTTGGCAATAAGCCTAACTAGCAGAATTACTATCAACCGTTTCTCTTATCACTCTAAGTCTAAAAAGATAAGACAATAAATTACTTGATAACACATTTAATTTATTATTACTAAACTTTCAAAACCACCTAAAGTGAGTAGTATAAGGTTGTTTTACTCCAGCATAGTCTGATTCATTCACTATAGAGCAAGGAGAAGATATCTATACTGTTAAGCATGTTAGAGCAGCAAAGAGAAAAGACAGTAGCAGAAAATAAATGCAAAGAAAGGTATGTTATATACCAATAATGCATGGGAGATAGTAAAGAGGATAGAGGATGTGGAGTTTAAAAAAGCTGAAAAACAATTGTAAAGCGATCAACATACAAAGAAAATAGCAGATCAAGCTACTCTGAAGTCCTTTCTAGATGAAATAAATGCCAATACAAGGCAGGTCAGAGGCGCTTATAAGTGCAAAATATATAAGTTAATAATTGTTTCTATTAAGAAATAAATAAAATGTGGTAAGATAACTCTACATTAGGAAATTAAATATAGTATCCATTAAGCTGCAAGGTTATCTTGAAACTCAGTATACAATACAGCCATGGAGTATATTGTGGCTTAAACTTCTGTTGAGCTACAAAGTTGTGTTGAGCCACAAAAATGCACTGAGCTGTCAAGTGGTGCTGAGCTGTCAGGCACTCTATGGAGTGCCCCCAAAAGTGTGTGAGCAAGCTTTGAAGAGTTGTGGTACAAGTACAAGCTTTAGTACTTAGAAATGGAACTCTACCCCATGCCATCCGATGTAGACCCGACTTGTCGTACTGAGGATCTTCCTATAAATTTCTTTATCATGCTTTACTTAGCTTTACGTCACTCTCTTATGGCCCCACTCCTGCAAGGCCATGAACGTGGTTGGATACCGTATAATAATCCCACGCCGAAGTTACCATGCTTGTGCTATGTATCCATGCATCACTCCTTCATGTTCCCTCATCTCTCACTAGGAAATTTATGGTACCATGTGGCATGGTGACATGATAGCAGGCGGCGCGACACGGCACAGCATCTCGGGGGGGGGGGGGGTATTGTACCAGACTTGACTGCCTTACCTCTAAGTTCTTGGAGAACACAGCACTTCCTTGCACTACTGTCGTGTAGCTGGCCGGCCGGCCAGCTAGCCTAGCAGATGCTGGAGCACATATTCACGACTCTACCATGGTTTGCCCCCCGCAAACCTAGCGGTTGTGTTGACCTGGCCAGATCTGAGCTCGTTCCATGGTGCCAGATGGCAATGCCGGCAACGGACATCGGTAGCTTAAGTTGTAGTGGAAAGAAATGCCGGTATAATGAACATTTCAGAGAACACGCTAGGTAGCTTAGTGGGTGTGCACGGGTGTGCAGCCCCTCTGGTTGTCTGCCTGACCCCTGGATCGATACAGATGGGTTTGAGATAGGGTTTTAAGTTTTGTACAGTACTCGAGTGCTCGCAGGGTAGTGTACGTCACAAGTACTGTACTTTTCCAGCAGCATCTTGAAGAAATAATAAAAAATAACAATCCGGGGATGGTTGGGCTGGTTGGGTCAGGGATGTGACGAAGGGGGGGATGGTGATCTGCGATTCATGGGGGTTCTGTGGAGCGCACGGTTTTGATGTATAAGTGCTCGAGAAATATTATGTGTGGTCTGGGTTGGGTTTCGCCTCCTTCGTGCTGAGCGGTGAGATCTACGAGTACTACCGACTGGTACTGTACACGACGTGCGGGTGCTTGTAACTGAATAAAGCGGAAGTGAGAGACATTATCTTGTTGTCGTCGGCCCACTGCTAGCTAGTTTTGTGAGTGGTATTTGTAAAATACGAGTACTCGTACAGTACCTGGATTGGCAGCGCAAACGGTGCCATAGTGAGACGAGATACCAATGGCAGTAATCTAGCTAAAGCTTCAGTTTTGTTTCATGATGGATGTCAGTAATAGGTGTTATTTACTAATAGCACTATAGTAGAATATTCACTATTGGGCATAGGTTTTTCTTGAAATTTACTCTAACTATACAGTTCAGTGTAGGTGCCCTAGCAGCGCGATCATTTGGAGGAAGAAAAAAAGATGACAATCCAGATGTCGGATTGACAGGTACCCAGTAACAAAAAGGATATTCCCCATCCAGGGCTTGGTCAACCATGGTGTATTAGGCAGTAAAACCCTCGCCAATACCATTGCACCTTGCATCCCCGTTCCGGTAAAGGGTCTACTACTAGTATACCAAGGAAAAGATAAAATGGGTGAGAAGGCAGGAGGATAAGGATATCTTTAGAGTAGCCCAAACTACGTCCTAAACAGTTATCCGGGGCCTAGGCGCTACAGTATTCCCATCTATGAATAGCTGCAAGAGTCTAGATGCAACGTCAATCATCTGTTGAGAACCCCCCTCCCTCCACCCTACAAATTGATATAATGATGCGACCCCGTTTCAAGAACATCTACGCCATCACCGACACGGAGGATACCCACTGTGTATTGCGTATTAGTACGCTATATGTCCAGTCTCAAGTTTCCACTCAAGCACAGGGAAGAAACTTACTAGCTGAGGCAGGAACCAATTGCATTCCTTCAACCAGAGGGTTAGCAAATCACAATCAGGGCCGAGCCAAAACAAGGACAAAAAGCAAAGTAAATCAACAAGGCTGGGAAGAATACATACCCAAACACGCCCCATGCTTATTCCCCAGATCAATAGCGCGATAGCTGCGCATTGTCTGGTCAGGCTCTTGCATGTGCCTCTCTAAATAGGGCATCGGTTTCCATTATTTCATATATGAAACGTGCCAAGGGGCATCAGGGAAGGAAATAAAGCAACATACCACCAGTATCAGGGTCTACGTTTGGCATTTTGCATCGCACGGTTCTACAGGCTATTTGTTCGTTAGTGATTGCATTGTTAGGACTCGAGAATGATAGTGTGCCTGCGTAGTAGACGTATCCACCTAACCGGATTTTCTTCCAGTCGTCTTCAGTGAAGGGGCTTGGCCCGGAGACTTTGGTAAAGGGTGGCTGGTTAGTTAGGGGCTCACGTGGGAGGGGAGTGTAGCAGGTTTGCGAGGGTGGGTGAGGCACAATGATGTGGGGATCATACGGATTATATTCGCACGGAAACGCAGGATATCGAGTCTAGGGATGCTGTCGGTAATGCGGGAGTTGAGTTCGCGAACGGAGGCGAGGTTTAGCATGTGCAAAGGGTACTGTTCTCGACCAATGATCAGTTGCTGTTTTGATGTGAGAGGAAGGATCAAAAGTTAGGAGTAATATACCGCGTCCGCAAATCCCGTGACTGGCTGATATCCGACTTCATTGACTGTGGGTGCATTCCTGTGGACCTCTCGTAACTCTTCCGGGCATATCCTGAACAGTGCTAGTGGGCCCTTAGTGCATAGGTAAGTCGACAGCTCCCGGAGCTCCGTTTCAACGGCAGAGGAGATGTCGTATGCTAGTGGGTGATCTTTCCAGATTCCTACTTGCTTGAGCGGGTACCTCGCCTTGAACTCCTCGGAAACTAAGAGTGGGAAGCGAATTGTTCTGGCTGGCTTGAGGAAAGGTAGATGGGACTTGATTGGGAAAGTGATGTGTAGGTTACCATCGTTTACTCCTTCAAGGTATATCTCAGTCGTAATGAGTGCCATCTTTGGATACTGCCTCTGGGTTATGAAGATCCATTGAAGATTTCCAGTCTTGAGATTTTGCTTCCATTCTGCGAAGACCTAGAAAGGTTAGTCATGTTGTCAAAATTTTTAAAACAAGTACAAGTATGATACCCGGGGGATTTGATTTCGTAAAGGTAATTCAGGTTAACCCGCAATAAAATCCATGTCCTGTACGAAACCATATTACTGGGCGCTTGTACTTCCTCGGTACTAGTAGAGGGGTAGCCCTACAAATTGACGATCATGCTCAATTCTGTCATCAAGAAGAGTAGTTAGCGTCTTCGCGAGCTATTACTTATGCCGACCCTCAGGGATTCCAACTCACTTACCCGGATGGTATGACTCGAGCTTCAGCAACCTCAATTCCGCGGCAACTCTTCACCGGGAAGATCCATAAACCCTTCACTCTCCACTGACCTGCGTCCAAGGCATCGATCCCGTGTCGATATGAATCCGCAAGATTACTTGTTTTAACGCCCAACTTTCTGCCATGCTGATTTGGGGCGAACGGGAGCCTAGAGTATACCACCCAACTTAAGAAGACAAAGGGGACCCCGAGAGCCAACAAACGCAGAATTGGTGTTGGAAGCTGCCTCGAGAGTGGCAGCCGGTGTAGCTCAACGACGACGCCGGATCGAGACATTAGTTATGTTATTCTAACAGGGTCAGCTTGTTATGCACACAGCACTCGTTTACGGTAGTTGACCCACTCACATAAACACTGAATTTTTCTGCGAATTATTGTTATTATCCGAGGACTGAAGTGCACTAGCACATTGTTTGCTTTGTTGTTGGTGGCAAGGCGAGGGAGTAGTAACAGCCGAGAACAAGAAAACGTCCGTGCGTGGGGAGGATGGAGGGGGTTTGTTGCTATCTTGGTCACGGGTAGTGTGGTAGAATGAGTGGGAGGGTGATAGTAGGCAGTCAAGCAAAGAAACAGGAGATGAGCTTGGTCGGAAGTGCCGACTATTTGATTCGATGGGAGCGTGCAAAGGGCGGAGATTTGGGGAATTTGGGGGGTTTTGGGAGGTCTTGCGTGACAGGGTAAGTGAGGGTGGGGGGTTAGAGGATAGACAAGGGTATCATACTCGTGCTTCCAAGGTTAGATCAGGTCACATGATTCCAGTAGCAAGAGGAGTGTTCAGTGGTAACCGCGCTGTCACCAAAATCAATTCAGCTTAGCCATGGTAATTGTTACCACTACCGCCTTTCTTCAAACTAAGGATAATAATATAATGAAAATTATTGCACCACCTATCAATAAGGTCTTGAAGAATTTGATACTATTCTTCAATTAAAAATCTTCTTTAATTTATCTTGTACATCATAACAAGTGCTACTGAGATTATTGTAATGTTTATGCAGAAGAGAAAGAAGAAGAGGAAATATCTCCTTTGTTTAATGTGTACTAAGACTACCTAAAGTACACAGGTCATCTTAGTGTATACTATGCAGATCCAAAACCACTACACCTCTCCAGGTCTTGGTAGCCAGATGAAAAACTATTAAACAAGTATGGCAAATACTAGCAGCCAGGTATCAGATCATGAGATGCCACAACTTGAACCTGGAAGAGTCTCGTCTAGAATCACAACTACTCAACTAGATATCCGTGCAGAAAACACTCACACACAGTAACCTGCAGCTTATATATCCAGAAAACCACACCAAAGCGAGGAATATTGAAGAAATTCTCTATAACAGTGAGATGATAGTCCCTAAACAGATATGAAAATGAAAACCTCAAATATGGGAAACCTCATAAAGTTAAGCACAAATATCTGAAACTAGAGGACCTATAAGGCTTGTTACAAATAAATATAAAAATTCATCAACTACTAGGCTTGAGTATTAAATGCATAATAGTATCTGTAGACATACAGTCTAGCCTTAATATTAAGAGATGAGCAATCAGTAAGGAGCACAAGTGCTCCATTGGAAAAGAGGTGAACACCTGTCAGTACAGAGGGCACTAAAATATTTACTAAGGGGGGCTGGAAAGAAGAAAACAAGACTCAGAGTAGAAAATAGAAGAAATATATATGAGAGCCAGTAGTAGAGTACCGGCAGTCAGAGTAGGATAATGTTGGATAGAAGAATTAGTGTTAGCCAGGAGATGAAAAGTAGATGAAGGTAACAGGAGCTTTCTATAGGAAAAGGGGTTCCAAGATTGTAATAATACTGAGGTGATCTTGGTGAAAATACAGGTAAATATAAAGCAACAGAAGAGTTGAAAAAACAAAATTGTAAAACTTAATATCATTAAGCTACTGCTTTACTCAATTAAGTCCTAATTTTGAGAGGTATTTGATTACCAGAGTAGAGGAGAACTCACATATGGTTAAGTAGATTTCATATTCAGCTTGTTACTCCCTATCACTACTCTGCGTTTACAAGTATGAAACTCCCGTAGGCTCTCTAGCTAACCTCTACAGGCCAGACTAAAGATCCTCTTTAGCAAACTTAACAACTGCATGATTTTTTAACATCTACCAGATAGAAGTGTTTTACATGACGCATCTCCAATGCAACCACAGAAGTAAATACTGTTCTCATCATAGACTTGTTAATAGTGAGCTGTTATGTGCAAATAGTTTCTGTACTAGCTATGGAACTCTCTACCCAAATACACTTAGTTTTCAACAAGTATCTACTACTGCTGAACATCTATTAGGTTCTGCTCTGTTCTATATCATTCTGGATGGTGGTCATGTAGCTTCCACTGTAGACCTCTTTGGAGATTTACTACTACTAGGTGCTACTAACTGTCAACTCTCCTAGATGTAGGTCTTATCATGACCTTAGACTACTGTCATAAAATGATTAATAATGCTCCAGTACTATTATACTTTTAGGGTAATAGCCTTTAGCTACCTCCCCTATAGACTTCTGGTTATGTCAGATATTACATCTAGTCTACAAAGTGCTATTGTTTCTTTAGCTTTAGTCTGTTTTACATGAAACCACATAGAGACCTGTTTCCCCTTTCTCCTCTTCCCCCTGACCTATCCTGCAAACACCCTCTATCGACTGAATGGTGTGCACATGTGCTATGTTACATAGAGTATCTACGCTTTTGGACTTTTACTATACATATTGCAAGTTTCCAGGCTGTAGTCCATATCGCTGGTAACTTATAACTAAAATGGAAGAGGGGTATTAGTCATCAAACCTCCAAATTACAGCTTATTTGGAGCTCAACAGGTTGTGCGTGAGTTATCTGCACAACCTGAGGTTCGAATATGCTTTATAGTTTCTTGTGACAAACAATCTAGTAACATCCCAGTAAGTCCTGCACTACAAGTTACATTTGAGGTAGAGTAATAGGCTGAATAGAAGAGTAAACTTTGACCTTTGATAAGATAACTATGGTCTGAAGGTATAGTAACTCTACTTAGACTTACTGTTAAACAATTTAGTGTATCTCATAGATTGACCACTTAAGTTACTGTACCCAGTATGGTAACCACTGATTGTTACTAGTACTTAAGTACCACTACTATGATATCACTTGTCCCACTAAGGTACTTAACCAACTGTACCTCTACTTAGTAGACTCTTGTCTACCACTGTGCCTATAGTGGTTATCTCTTGATGCTTGTATGGGTTTAGGTATGGCTAACTGTAATACTACTCTGTGGAGTCTCATTACATGGAGTAATATGGTACTTGCAGATCATAATTGTGGAGTATAAAGTATGAGAAGTAGACACAAATGCTGAAACAACTATTGGAAACAAGTTCCTATCCTGACAATGTGGCAATATCGGGTCCTCAATACTATAAGGTGTATGAAATATCTATCTCATTTGGTCACATATTGTGAAAAAGATAGTGTCACTTTGTTGATATGTTACCACTAACTGTATTGGGTAAAACGAATAAGGAAGTTAAAATATATTGTAGTCTGTTGAGATGACCAATACAACTGCAAGTTTCTTGGTAGAGAGGCAATGGGAGTCTATTATTCTTGTATACAACTAACCATATTCACAGCCATTAGTTGTAGAGAGAAAGTAAAAATCCAACAGTGCTTTTACTAAGAGTAGCTAAAGTAAAAGTATAATACAAACAAAAACCAATATTATGAGATATTGGGTGGGTTGAGTAGAGGATCGTACAAGAGTAGACTATCAGAGAGCAGACAAGTAGAATCTCTTATCTTAATGGCAGTATAGAAAGTGATAGCCTAGTCCTCCTCTAAAGAGAGAGACAAGACATGAAATATAGTGAGAAAAGTCTTTACTGTTGATGAGATTTCAAATAGGAAATGAATTTCAATTACTAGAGGTATATGACAGATGGACAATGACTTATTAATTAATTATATTCCTTTATTTTACTATCATAATAAATTCATTTTACCTTAAAGATATCCAAGACTGAATTTATTATTACCATGAACTTTGATGTCAAGAGCTCTTATACTTATATTTCGTGTTTTTTTGTCTTGATTTTACTGATACTGGAGCAGATTTTCACCTTTCTCTTAACCTCATACTTATGAGGATGATGTTATATTACTTACCAACTAGGATCACGCTTGTAATTTTCATTACCACAGCTGATATTTCAATTCTACCTTTACCTTTGGCAAGTACCTTGTGACTTATATCTTAGCCATAAGTTACAGACTTATTTGAGAGTTGGAAATATCAGTATACTATTTGTGTTTGGTTCAATATTATTGAATTTGTAAATAGTACAATTATAATAGCAAGGTAAACTATATAGATGTAATATTAAGTGGATTTTATAGGCAAACTAGCTAGAAGGTAGAAGGTATGATGGCAGATTAGTAGAGATTTCTGTCCTGATTAATTTGTAAATAAAGAAGATGGTAGTATCTATATATACAAGTTTGCATCCTTCAGATAAACTGTATATAACAGAGGGAAACAATAGCAAGAAACATAAGTGTGACAAGGTCATACCATATGTTATGTACTAGAAACATCAGGGTAAATAGATTTGATCCTGAGAATTTGCCAAGATAATCTGCCCAAGCATATATGAATAACAAAGTGTATGAGAGAAATTACATTAAATTTAAAGAAATAATCAAGGACATAAAGACTAAGAAAATACTTAAAAAGGATGAAACATCCTGTAAACAAAATGAAAGTAAGACATAGATAATTCCTAATCATTATTACCAAATATTAAAATGGTACATCAGCAAAAATAAGAATTGCGTTAGTTGCTTGAGCTCTGGGTCCAGATGCCCATCATGCAACCTTTGTTCCCATAGGTCCTATTTGTCTAGCACTGCATCATTACAACATTCACACCGTGGACATCCACTATTGCCTTCTCATTTATAATTACATCATGGGTATTTCTCTCTCGGCAACATATCCAGTTTACATCGTCTGTCTATTCCCTACCCATTTCTTCTTTTCTGGTAGTAGTTCTGAAAAGCTTACACAATTACCACATCCAGATGCCTGGCTTATGGCACTTACATCATTGGTAAGCACCCAGAGACTCGATCACTTATTTATATGCATCTTGTTTACTGCTTCCTATATATATATATTTTACTACTACCTGATATTGCCTCAAGCCTGGTGTCCTGGTCCTAGGTCCTCCATCACCTCAGTCCCTCTCCACCATCTCATGGTATCTCACTGTTGTCCTTTTATTACCATTAGACAACTTACTGTAGGCATAATGTTCCTATTATTTGATAGTAGGTCAGAGTGTCGGTTACCTGTCCTGGCTGTCTGGTACCCTACTAACTCAATTCCAATCTGATCCCCCATTGTGTCCACGATCATATTTCTAATGTTACAAGATACACACAGTTTACTGGAGATGGAAGATCTTTTTGAATGGCCAAAACAAATATTAGCCGACTGCCAACTCAAAATTCGGGAGATAATTCTAAAACGCTACTGCTTGCTATACAGAATAGGCTGGAGCAGGTTCATGGGATGCAGCAAGAATGTCGTACAGGATATGACAACAATAGGTAGCTTATAAAGGCAAAGCATGAGAGTTAGGTATATA